CCCCCCCCCGCCCCCCCCCCGGCCCCCCCACCCCCCTGTGGCTGTCCCCCCAGGGTCCCCGCCGGCACCCACTGACGCCACGCCGGCACATCTTGCCTTGCAGCTTGTCTCCGAGCAGCCAGAGCCCGACGCTGCTGAGCCCCTGCAGCCCCTGCAGCCCCTGCAGCCCCTTACTAACCCTGCACCCCTGGAGGTAAGACCCCCCCAAACCCTTCCCGGGCACCGCGGCCACCAGCTCCAGGGCAGGAGAGACCAAGCAGGGAAGGGGGAGAGGTGGAGATGCGGGCCGCAAGGTGGGTCCCCCCAGCATGGATGCCCCGGGGGGCCCCGAAAGTGGCACTGTCTTCTGTGGGGCATGTGGGGCAACGCAGCCGGGGTCTGTCCCCAGCCTTGTGCACCCCGAAAGTGGCCTGGCCGTGCCAGTGGGCTACCAACCGGTCCATTTTGGGGAGCCCTGATGGGAACGCCATGGCAGTAGCTCGAGCTCAGGCACTGAGCACCCTCATTTTGGGAGGGGATCACCTCGAAATCAGACCAGGGCAGGGCATTGTGATGGGAGCAGGGTGGGAGCGGGGATGGTGCCTTCCACCCACCCAGGAAACCTCCCTCGCTGCCTTTTCTGCTCCACGGTAGTGGAAGGGGAGCAGGGGGCTGCTCTGGGGGATGGGCGCCCCTCACCCAAAATGCTGTGAGCCCCTTGTGGTGCCCCACCGGGTGCTGCTATCGTGGAGGCGGGTGGCCGGACCCTGCGGCGTGCGCCGGCTGCGCTCTGCCCTGGGGACAAGGTGCAGTGGGTGTGCTGGCACCCGGCAGTCACGCCCCAGCCCTGTGCCCCACGGCGCCCGTGGGGCAGAGCTGCGGCCTGCCCAGCACCCATGGGTGACGCCGGGTGCCTCCATCCGTCTGCCGGGGAGAGCAGCTGGCGCTGGGCGAGAAGGAAGCGGCCGGGAGCTCTGCCACTGCTCAGCAACAGGCAGAGCCATTTGTTGTGGGCAGGCAGGAGCCAGGGTGCTGCCTGCGCTCTGCCTGCACATGGGGGTCCTTGCCTGCCGCGCTCCCTCCTGGCTGGCCACCCCTCGCCCGCGACACGTGGAAAAGCAAGCGTGGCCATGCGGTTGCTCAGCCGAGGCCTCTGGGAGGGCGTTTTTGGGATGCTTGGAATGGGGACGGGATGGGGATGGGGATGAGGACAGGCAGTCTGGCAGCGCCCCGGGTGCTGCCACGTGCTGGCGTCTCACGGCTGCCGGGCAGGAGGCGAGGGGAAGCGCGGTGCTGCCAGGCTCGGTGCTGCCCTTTCGCCACGTTGAAACCCTGCCCAAACCCACTGGTGTCGGGATTTCTGGCCCTGGCACTTGCCAGCTGGCACCCAGCGAGCGTGGCGATGCCATGCCGTATGGCTCAGGAGGCTCCGCTGGCCCTGGCGTGCCACTGCAGGGGCTTTTGTCACCGGCACTAAGGGGATGGATGCCACTGGGTCTTTGCTTGGGATCTCCCTGATTAAATGGGAAAGCCGGCGTGGGAGGGAGGCTGCGGGGCGCTTGCCGGGGCGCTGCCGGGCGGTTGCCCTCCGAGCGCGGCGTCCCGCGGGCGGCAGGGTGCCGTTAGGGGATGCCACCCCCGCTGACCTGGGGGGATTTGTGCCCCTCGAATGCAGAGCGGTGGATGCTGCATCTCCATGGTAACCCTGACCCCATTTTGGGGTGCTGCCCCGTTGCTATGGTAACCCCAAGCCTCCATTTTGGGGCGATGTCCCATCTCTGTAGTAACCCTGACCTCATTTTGGGGTGCTGCCCCATCTCTGTGGCAGCCCTGAGGCCCTTTTGGGGTGCTGCCCCATCTTTATGGCAACCCCAAGCCCCAATTTTCAGGTGATGCCCCATATCTGTAGTAACCCTGGCTCTGTTTTGGGGCGCAGCCCCGTCTCCATAGTAACCCTGACCCCATTTTGGGGTGCTGTCCCATCTCTGTGGCAACCCCAAGCCCATTTTGGGGTGCTTCCCCATCTCTATGGCAACCCCGACCCCGTTTTGGGGAGCTGCCCTGTCTCTATGGCAACCCCAAGCCCCTGTT